GTAATCGCACTTTTTGACAATGCATATTTATTAATGACATAATTAAGTTTATGCACATACAAATTAAACTAGTATGGCCAACTTTCCGTATCTAGAAATTCCTTCTTAGCTTACATTTCTAAATTAAAAAACTCACTAAAAATCAAATGATTTATTTTTGCGAAAAGATTAACTTATGAATCAGAAAAACAACTGTTTAATTAATATTTCAATAAAGTATAATAATTATTCATGATGAATAAGTATATTGATCAAAAATTCTGTTTTGTTCCCATTTAATCAAACAATCATAAAGGTGAAACATTTTTTCCCAGAACTTTTATCAAAATTATGTGTTATTATCATGATTAAACACTCATTGTTATCTTCAATGAAATTCTCAAGAAAAACTTAGAGAAATTTGAACTTCAAGTTTATCAGTGAAAAGACATCTGAAATGCGATAGTTTTCGATGGGCTTTACTGATTGTTAGTTTCAATTATTACTAAGCTTATTGTTATTTAAATATATAAAAACTGTATTGCGCTAGTAAAGTGGAACAAGGATTATTTTTGACTTGTTTAAATATTTTCATGGAAAAAAATTATTACTAATATAAAATATTTAGCGTACGCTTAAATGTGGTTATAACATATGAAAGGAGAACACTCGTTTCTTGTTGGTCCGGTATAATTTCATATATTCATTTCATTCATAGGGGCCACTTTCCTTAGCCAAACATTTTCCTTGATTCAAATCACATGAGCAATTGCGTTTAGAATATTTAATATACTTTATATCATGATCTTTGTGACACTTTTTAGCGCAGGTCTGGCAAATTATATCATCAATTATATTACACGTCTTGCAACGGTAACTTCTCTGAAAAATATCCTTCGACTGGAAAATACAAGCTGCACAAGTTGTGTCCAAAATCAATTGAATTTGCAAACACTTTCTCTTTTCTTCATCTCCATTTTCATGAAATAATTTACCATCATCACTACAAATAAGACCAGGCTGATAAATAACAACTTCCAACTCATCAACAACAAAATCATAATAGTTTCCATTATGGTAAATGCAATAATCAAATGAATTAGTGTCTGCTAAAATACAACACCAATTCTCCCCACCGAATTTCTTCTGCATAGTAAAGCAAACAATGATCGGTAAATTGAGCCTATCATCATGAGTAGAAGTATCTGTTGTTTTAAGTAAATTTAAAAAGTTTAAAATAACATCATTTTCTTCAATGGGTATGTATTGAGTGTGCACATTTGATATCCAAATATCGAATCGCATATTTAGCTCAAGTCCATCAATTGCAAGATGATATCGATCGTGGCGAAATATTGCAAAGTAACCACCATTATGCACATAGCCAACATTAACAGGAAATTTAAGTCGTGTTGATTTACTTAACTCTGCAACTAAAAAAAGGACAGTGATTAAAAGGCAGAACATGCCCTCTGTGAAACGAGGATATCGGCAGACCTGTTTTTGTAGTTATTCAAATAAATGAATAATTTCACGCTCTGTGAGTTTTAAAATGGTCAAAATTTGATCAATCTAAAAGGAACTCCCTCAATTCTATGTCAATTCCCAATTAAATTTATAAAGTTGCCTGCAGAACGCATATTAGAAATTATCAAATATTTTATAACTTCGAAATCAGGTTCTCCGATTTTAAACCCAAGATAAATCCTGCTTGGGTCTGCATTTTAGTCCTTACCTGATAAAAGTAATTTAGGTGTTAATTTATCGACATTAAAAATTTCACTAGCGTAATGCAATATCGCAGCACAAGTGCTGTGGTCCACATTTAATGATTGAATGTGCGCAGTTTTGAAAATATCAATTCGCAAATTGTTGTTAAAAGTCAATTTAAACCTTCTCTTGATACTTTCGGTAAACGTTACAATCTCAACTGGAGATTTGCTACAATTAAAACTCCAATTTTTACCAATTGAAGAGCTAACCCAATCCATAACATATTGAATCATTGCTTGTCCGTCTGCATCATGCAATTCTCGGCTATTATTTTCGTTGCAAAATTGTTCCAACCAGTCATCAACAGCATTTTGCATTGTTGTTTTATTGTGGACAATTTTTATTTCGTCAATTCCTTCGAAAATTTCGGTTGCAGTTTCTCGAGATGTTTTAAAAATTGTTGCATAACAACCGCCGCTCTTAATAATAATATTTTCTCCTCTATTTTTTATAATTGGCACTGAATCACCTAAAATACAGTGCCAAACATTACCATACTTTAATTCGTAATTTTCCTTTATTGCATTGGCAATTTCTTGCATTGTTGAGCCAGCAGACTGAAGCTCTTCTAGGGTTTTATATGCTAAACTTGCCATCATTTGTGAAACTGACTGAAGGATTATAGTTTTCTTCCTTTCTATTGCCACATTGTTGTCGATTGAAAATTGTTGACTTATGTAGCCGTTTATATCGACATGACTCCAACATGAATTTTGCATGGTTCTACCCCAAAAGGCCTAAAACCCAAAACGCCTAAACCCCAAAAGGCCTAAAACCGAAAAGGCCTAAACTCAAATAACTAACTGACCAATGGATATATTTTTAATTTGATTAGTGGAATAGACGAGCCTCAATCTAACCTAACCTATCCTAACCTAAATTAAGTCAAATGTCCATTGGTCAGTTAGTTATTCAAGTTTAGGCCTTTTGGGGTTTAGGCCTTTTAGGCTTTAGGCCTTTTCGGTTTTAGGCCTTTTGGGTGAGTCCCATTTTGCATCATTGGGATTGCGTACTAGAAAGTAGTTAATTCGACAATTAGGTAAAAACTTGCATTATAGCTGTAAGACTAAAGATAGTTAGCCTTTTTATCTTTCAACTTACCACCCAATCATCAACAATTGTCTGAAATTCAGTCGTTGCACCAAAAATTTGCTTTCTCATATTGTCATGTCCTAAATCCTTAATGAGTTCGGAGAAAAACATATAAAGTTCAACTCTCGTTTCATTTGCTGATTTTCTTAATTTTGCATTCTTCTGCGTGAGATTTAAAATTATCTCTGCAATTTTGGGCCATCGCCTTGACAATTCTTCAGGAACTATACGTCTTTCGGCAACATCTTCGAACAATTTCTTTAATTCTTCCACGACAGGAGTCTCCCAAAACATTTCCAACAAAGTCAACCCTAATGCAAACATATCAACTTTCCAATTATATTCTCCTGCCTGAGTAGAGTCCACACCTTTTACTTCTGGAGCTTGGTATAAATCAGTACCAATTGCCAGTGAATGTAATGGAATTAGTGAATTACTAGTGCTTGCTTGGGCATCAGATAGTTCTAACTCGTGAGCCGTGGCGCACCCAAAATCACACAATTTCGTACCATTTTTACTAAATAGTACATTTTCAGGCTTGAAATCACGATGTATTAGTGGTGGTTTAAAAAATTCTTGTAGTACAACAAACGAAGTTAGCACTTCTTCAAACATTATCAAATATAAAATTGCTAATTGTCGATTTGCAACTTTGCTTCCATCACCATAAACTGCTCGCAATAAGTAAATTCCATCTCTCATATTTGCTGAGCACAAATTCATTCGAATGTACATTGAGTAAATGTCGTAATCATTTTCCTTCTCGAACCAAAATTCTTTTGGAGCTGAAATTCCGGTGTTTGTCAATGTATATTGATTATAGAATTCGTATTCTCTGATTGCATCCTTCAGACATTCTAATTTAAGCAAAATTTTTTTAACCGCAAAATATTCACTTGGTTCATTAAGTGGACCAATTCGACTATATTTTGCTTTAAAAACATTACCAAATCCACCGCTGCCTATGATTGCATTATCCCGAATAAAGTATTTTTCAAAGTATCCATCGCGTTGGTAACGTTGTAATGCATCATCAAGTATCTTCGCAGTTTTTGTTGATATAGAAATTGGAGCAACATCCTTAGCTTGTTGTACATCAAATTCTTCATCATCGTCATCGGAATCTCTGTAAATAAACATTATTTTAAAACAGTTTCATAAGAAATAATTAAGACACTTATTGCAGTGCTTAGCAATTAACTGCATAAAATGGTGATAAATGAAATGCAAAAATTTATTAATAAAATATAGTTTAATATTTTGTCCTGATTTGATGAGATTTAAACATTAAAATCCTGCTATTTACAGAATGATGAAAAAATGAAGTAAACAGACTAACAATCACTAATTAAAACGACTTTTATTGACCTTATTGACTTCATTAATACTTACTTTGTTTTCAAAATTGCATAATTTGCTGCTGTTGCCATTTTTAACAATTAAACTTTAATATACTTTTAGTGTATTATAAGTCTGGGAATTTCTTAAACAAAATGTATATTAAAATGCAACGTACAAAAGTGAACAAAGAGCTATAAATAATAGAGGTTGAAATATCCTAACAACCGATAAAATGAGCATTATTACGGGTAATTAGTTGCTATGTAGTAAGATAAAATGGTTAGTGATATTTCAGTACTGAATGCAAGATCAGTAAAAGATGGCATCTAACAATAGTGATGATACACGCAAAGAATTGATGTAAGTTATAAAATTCATCACAATTCGTAATAAAATTAATGCTAGGTCTATTCAAATCATCAGCTCTCTCTTAATAGAATTAATATTAAGTTAAACTTTAACGAATACAACTTTTTGTTGAATATTTTTATTATTTCAGTACAAATGTTTCTGTGGTTCCTTCCAAATGGCAAACAAGAGACATAAAACCGCGACCTCATAGGAATGATTGCTATTACGCAACTTTAGCAGGTCTAAAACAAACAACAATTGATGAATTAGTAGCAATGACCAGAATTAATGATGATCCAAATGGAGCAAATGAACCTGAAATTGAGCGTCTTTACAATGCAGCAAAATATCCTGGAAAGTTTGTGCACTTCTTGAGCAAAGACGAAGTTAAGGATTACGTTTGCTCCAATTTACTCAAATATCCAGAGCTGGGATTAAGATTAGCAGTTGGTTATCAAATCTCAGAAGGTGACGGTGGTCACGTGGTGGCACTGATTGCATATATTATTCAGAATGGAAAAAAGAAAGGCCAACCGACATATCATGTGACGGACTTTCAAAAAGATGCCAATGACAGATTAAACGAGATGTCTCTACCTGAAGGAGTTTATTATTGGTTATGGGAAACCAGTCAACGATATTACAGAAAAGAGACACAAAATCAGTGAAGTGTCACAAATTTTTTTACTTTTTATTTCGTCTAATCCAAATAACCCAATCTAAAGTTTTGTTTATCCTTATTTTTTAAGTAATGTAATTTTAGGGACTCACCCAAAAGGCCTAAAACCCAAAAGGCCTAAACTTGAATAACTAACTGACCAATGGTCATTTGGCTTAATTTAGGTTAGGATTAGTTAGGTTAGGTCAAGACACGTCTATTCCACTAATTNAATGGTCATTTGGCTTAATTTAGGTTAGGATTAGTTAGGTTAGGTCAAGACACGTCTATTCCACTAATTTAATTTAAATTATGTCCACTGGTCAGTTAGTTATTTGAGTTTAGGCCTTTTCGGTTTTAGGCCTTTTGGGGTAGAACCGTAATTTAATTATGATCTTAATCTTATAAATAATTTAATCATTGCAAGGTCAATTGAATCCTGCTATGCAGTTAAGAAATTTAGCTGTTCCTGTCATCAGCACAATTTGAAATTTTTAATAAAAATATAAAATCTACACAACAGCAAAATAAAATTATTATAATAAATATTATTTCCAATAACATTTAATTGGAGAATATTTTGATGTTTTATTTCCCAGTTTTGTTATTTTTAAACAAGTTTTTAAACTTCTTGCGAATATTATGCATACTTCCGGTCGACACATTAGACTCAGTATTACGTGATATACTACTCGACGCCCTCTTAGGGATGGCACCTATTCATTGTAAACATAATTAACTATTCTTGCTCAATTACAAATTAAACTAGAGTACATATATTTGTTGCCGGTTTTATATTTATATGTTGTGGTGAGATTGGATTTACATTGCTTATTTTGTCCATTTTTAATTTATATGCTATCATATTTTTAAAAAACAAATAAACTTCGGAATTGGGTTGAGCTATGAATTTAGTAAATGCATTATAATTCGAGTCAATAATGTCCTTGCTAAGTGACCATGTATCAAATTTATTTAATGTCATTACACTTTGGCCTGAGGTACGATCCGTAGTTAATCATTGAATTAAAAACACCTAGTATATTTTTAATGCTTTCGTGTAGTGGTGTGTTTGTATATTTAACCAGTTCATTTCCACTGAAAACAATTATTAATGTTTTAAAAATTATTATAAAATTTCTATTGAATACTTACGTCCCTCTATTGAGTAGAGACACTTCTGGGGCCATATATCTCATGTCACCGACATCTGCGGTGTGTTTATTGTTTGTCTGGTAATGAATCCGTTTGTCATGGACTGTAGCCAAACCAAAGTTGCATAACTTAATAAATCTACCGTTCCTTACATTTTCAGCAATTAATATATTTTCGGGTTTGAGGTCTCTGTGAATGATCTGTGGATTCAATTCATGCAAATAC